CAGTTGCTTTGGTTGTGCCTGTCAAGAGTTTGGTCTTACAATCAGCATCATGAAGACCAATGTTATGGGCCAGAACACTGGTTTACCACCAGCAATCACCATAGCAGAAAGCATAATGGATGTTGTAACTATTTTGGCTCCATTGCTACTAACAACCTGTCACTTGAGGCTGAATTGAACACCTGTATTGGCAAAGCACCAGGTATCGTGAGCAAACAAGTGTGGAACAGTAGCAAACTGACTGTTAAGACCAAGACTAAAATATATTATGCTTGCATCATCAACACCCTTTTGTATGGCAATGATTCCTGAACCACATAGTCTATTCAAAAAAGCACCTCAGTAGTTTTTACTTACATTGCCTTTGCCACATTCTAAGAATTTCCTGGCAAGTATAAGTTGCCTACACTTAGGTCTTGGAACATGCCAGCATTCTGAGCATCCATTCTCTTCTTAGTCCATGTTAACTTCAGTGGTTTGGTCACTTGCAGATAACAAATGATGGCTGTATACCCAAGAATCTCTTGCACGGACAACACATGGGCTTTCTTTATTTCTGGTTCAAAGATGCTTGCAAGATAAATTTGAAGGCAATGAACATCAAGCCAAATGACTGGGAGAAGATTTCTGAGGATCAGAGTGTTTGGAAGCAGTCTATTAAGCATGTAATGAAGGCTTTTGAGGAAAGAAGAGCCTAACATGCAAAAGAAAGAAGCCTCAGAAAGAACCCTGCACCTGATCCACATTCAGGATTGTTTGATACAAACTTCATAAGCGATAAATGCAGAAGGCACTGTCACTCAAGAATTGAGTTCTACAGGCACACCTGCAGATGTTTAGTGAGTTCATGCCTCATTTGGCATAATTCTATTGTTTGCAAGACAGACAGGTGCCTGCTAATGTCTGAAGGACAGTGTTTACTCAAGACAGAACCAAAAAGTTGGGGCAGAAACCGTTTGAATGGAAATGATGGTACTTGATATAAATATTATGGATCTATAAATTGATTTTATGTACTGATTTCTACTTATGTGCCTTGAGACTCACTCCTTTTCAGGTTCAGAAGAGCTTTTTGAAATAGACAGTCAGTTTAATATCCTCCTAATTTGCATGGATCCACTTTGAAGAGCTTCTTTTTATCTGGATCCTTTACCTAAGGATCTTAGGTGCTACTATTACTGCTGCTATTATTAATATTAATAATAATAGCAATAGTAATAACAACAACAACAACAATAATAAACCTAATCAAACATGTTGTACTTTAGAAATACAGAAATAATTTGGTATGATGTCTGAACAAAAGGAGAAAATGTCAGATCTACTATGCTAATGTAGCACAAAGTCCCTGGCATTTACAGAAAAGGAGTCTTTATTTCCACAGAGAGAGCTCCCAATTAAGCCCAAATAGACTGCTGAAGACTATGCACTTTAGGTTTAACAGATGAAAATAAGTTCTCCGTGTCTGACCAGCTTCTAATATAAATGTCCAGTCGATATAAATAGGATACAGGAAAATTATATTTTTCTTACTACAAATTTGGGATGCCAGGAGTATTCCAGTTTTCTGTGTCTGTGTATCGCTGACATTGTTCATGGGGACTAACAGATTTATAAGGAGAACTACTAGAAAAGCAAAAGCAAGGAAATACAAAAGAGGTCTGATTAGGTGAAGAAATTAATGTTGAGAAGCAGAAGGAACCTGATTCAATCGCCTTAAATGTTCTCTTTATATTTTATAAACAACACCAGAGAATTAATGATACAGAAATAAAGGAATTAAAGAATCTGAGGAACCTCAAGGAGTAAGGAAGATTAAGTGAAAAGACAGACTATTCCTAACTGAGGCTATGGACATGTTACATTTGTGGTGCCATATAAGCTGCTACAGCTCTACAAAGAGTTAATGTGTATTTGTAGCTCTACAAAGATGGCAGATCTACTTGTTTCAGACAGGAACTTCTTTACCAGTGCTACAGGTTGTAGAACCTTATGTAACTAGTGGACAGTTGCATTGTAGCATTTAAAGGGGTCTTTTGGTTGCCTAGCCTCCCATAGCGCTCTGTTTTTCCTCCCTCCTCCAAGGAGGGAAGGAGGGATGAAGAGCAGTGGACCTCCTCTAAAACTAGCAGGGAGCAGAGCTGTAGTTCTGATCTCTGTGATGGCTATCACAGAGCTGCTGCTGGCCCAAGGGACCAGCAATTCTGTTGGGTGACTCTGCTGCTGCCACCACCTGAAACATCTGAAAGCTGACCTTGCCACACAGTGGTGCCACTGGAATAGCAGAGGGATGCCTCTGCACTGTGGGAGAAGCAGCTGGTGATCCTTCTGGTTGGTGGCAGTGATGCAGTGCCAAGAACTGGTGTACTAATGGTGGTGGTAGCATCAGCAGGAACAGTTTTTGCTTCAGGAGCAGTCTTGTTTAGGCGGCCATCATAGAGGACATTCTGGTTTTCTTCTACTCTGTCTTCTATTGATACGAAACCCAATGCTTTTATGTCCTCTATTTTTCTCTTCAAGAGAAAATCAGGGGATTCCTCAAGAGAAAAATAGAGGACATAAAGGCATTGGATTTTGTATCAACAGAGGACAGAGAACAACTGGACTGTCCTTTATAATGGCCACCCTAAGTCTTGTACAGCCAATTCTCTGGGATCAGGACCAACCTGCCTTCTTCCCTGCTTGGAGCAACATACTCTCCCACTGGGAACTGGTAAAGCCTGGCAAAGGCTATCAAACACAGCCCCCAACTGCCTGTGGGGATAGAGGGGGCAAGCAGAACAGTGCTTCTCACCCCTACCATGGGCAGTGGCGAGTGGTGGGGACGATCGCTGTGATAGCCTCTGCTTCCCAGCTGCTGCTATCTGATCACCAGGGATTTGGGTTTTCCATTTGCTGCAGAAATAAAATAAGGATTTTATCCTTTAAAGGAGAAAAATGCAAGAAACCCTGGGTTTCCCCATGTAGACTGGCAGAGTTCTAGCCTGCAAGGGGCTGCTTGGGGCTGAGGGGAGTAGAAGAAGGACTATCAGAGGCAGGGGTGTCACATGCCAGGGCGGTGCACAGTGCCTGGGGAGAAAATGTGTGGCTGAGGGGCCTGGCTGGGGAGCGGGACAGAGCCAAGTGCGGGTCATTGTGGGGAGGGGGGGCAGGCTCCCTGCCACTGCACACACTCCCAGGGAGGGGCTGAGCACCAGAAGCGATGCATTGGAAGGGTATGAGGGACAGATGTCCTCCCCTGATTTTTTGTCTCACAGTGGGACAAGAGGCTGCAGCCTGGCCTGACAGGCACTGGCCAGGAGCTGCCTCTGCACACGAGTGGGTGGGACCCAGCACAGGAAGGCAAAACGGGGTGGCGAGAACTGTTTATGCTGCCACTGCGAGCCATGCACTAGCCATGCCATGATATCTGCCAAGATGGGGTGCCCCCTGCCTGCCGTTGAATTTGGGGAGGACTTGTGCCCCCCTCACTATAGCAGCATGCAGGGGGCACCTCACTGTGTTGGCATGGGGCTCATGGTGGTGGTGGCAGAAACAAGTCTTGCTGCCTCACTCTACCCTCCTGCACTGGGTCTCATGCACCATGCCATGGAGCTCCTGGTGCTGGTCTGGCCAGGCTGCAGCTCTGTGCCCTGTTGGAGGTGCAGAAATTGCGGGAGGTGCACATGCCCCCCACACACACCCAACACTTTTCTCTGGCATTGCCTATGGTTGGGAACACCCCAACCTGCGCCACAGAGCCGCCATCCCCTGCCCCACACACAAACTACCTGCTCTTCACACTTGGAGGCAGGGGGGAGCATGCTGGGAGTGAGGGGCACCAGCGAGGGTGGGGGGGCTGTGGCTTGGGAGTGAGGGGCACTGGCATATCAAGGCTGCTCAGCACCACAAAGCAGCAGGGGGGACAGCTGCAGCTGGACTCTTATCTTGGTGAGGGAAGGGGGCAGGAGGAGCTCTGATTTTCCATGATAAAAAAAACAGTATCAAATATAAAAATATGTAGGTATTTAGAATTTTTTTATTATAATGGTTGAGGCACTGATAGGCTTCCAAATTGCTTTAAAATTGTATGTATGTGTGTGTGTATATATATGTGTGTGTATACCTATGTGTATATATATATGTAGGTATGTGTGTATATATATATGAGTGTGTGTGTGTGTATGTGTGTGTATGTGGCTTTTTTTAATACACACACACATACATACATACATACATACATACATACATACATACATACATACATACATACATACATACATACATACATACATACATATATACACACACACGTAAGTATGTATATGTGTGTGTGTATATTAAAAGAAATGCCACTATATATGGTGGCATTTCATTTTAATCATGAGAAGACATGGATTTTGGGGGGTTTTAATCAGAGATTTTTGGATTTTTTAACAGTGAAAACCTGGATCCCTGCTGATCACTGACAGCTTGTTTCCTTTGCTGGCAGAGAAGAGGGCAGGCTGTCTGTAATAGGGCAGGCTGCTCACTGACAGGCTCCCTTGGGAACAGGTGGGGCAAAAGAGCAACCCCCTATTGCCCCTGGCTCAAGAGTGAACTTTTGAGATAACTGTAGCTCTCTGGCCCCTACAGGATTTCATTTCTGTGGGTACTTTGTAGCACTACAAATGAACATGTAGCCTGTGGGTTCCTCACTGGAGCTGTTGCAGTAAATCTCTTAACCAACAACAGCCAAAAGGAACTGAGGTTTTGAATATAAGTGTATTGTGCCACTCATACAACTGAACTGAATCTTTTTACTTGCTAATATTTATTCCTATAACCCTCCAGAAATCCTCCATAGCTTTAGTATTTCTTGTTTGGTCTCAAACTGGTTTGGAAATTCAAGACAATTTTGTAAAATTGTTGTAACATTAATACCTTTTTAGTATTTTATGTTATATGAGGATACATTAGAATCAACGTTTTATTCCCTTTTGCTACAGAAAAACATATGTTGTTTGTTTTATTTTATTTAGTGCCAGTGATTTGATTATGAAAATAGATGCGCTTCTGTCTTCATTGCCAAAAAAGGAGATGAGACAGGCTGTTCAGTTTCTCAAAGAGCATCACAGGTAAGTTCAGTTTGGATGGAGCAGAACCATGGGACAGATCTGACCCATTGAACATAAGTTTGACACACCTGCCATACATGATTTATGAAAGCATACATTTACCAGGGGCCTGCTGTAATTCATTTTCATAGCTTCAGATGCCTCTAATCAAAAACTTAGTATCTCCTGTTAACCTGATTTGTCAAGCAATAATCCTTGTCAAGCAGAGGAAAAGTTTATCCACCCCATTAGGCTTAATATTACTCAGTTGATATTTTTACCACTGTAACAGGGAACCCTAGCCCTATTACTAAGAGGCAGAGCTGCCCCTTTAAGACCCAGGGCTACAAGAACACCAAGCACCAGGAGGGTAGGTGTTAATAGCCCAACCACCCAGGCCGGTCAGCTGACAGGAAGGAGATAGGCTTCTGGGCACATATAAACCTCAGGGCCAAGGCTGGCAGGGGGAAGGTCTCTGGCAAGCAGCCAGGGAAAGAGAGCTCCTGCACAGCAGAAATACCCTGGAATGCTGTGGCCCCCAGCCAGACTGTTGCTGTGGTCAGTGAGACTCCAGGAGTCTACAAGGTACCCAGAGCTGGGAGGGAAGTGTACACAAGGCTCGAGGAGCAGTTTGGGGTTTTTAAGGAGCCAGGGGTGTGGCTTTATAGGACTTCTATTATGTTATAGCCCAGGGGCGCATATTCACATTATTGTTTGTCTGGTGGACCGGGCTGAAGCTATTTGGGGAGGAGGCGGCCTCAGTGGGGCACACTGCTGTGCAAAGCCCCAGCACTAGGGGGGGCGCAGCAGTGGGGTGATCGGGCCCCAGCGCCAGGAGGGTCATAGTGACAGGGTGATTGGGCCCCAGTGCCAAGTGGGGCACATCGACAGGGTGATCGGGCCCAGCGCTGGAGGGGGCACAGCAACAGGGAGCAATCAGACCCCAGCGCCAGGAGCCACAGCACCAGGTGGTGCAGAGACAGGGGGCAGACCCCAGTGCCAAGAGGCACAGCAATGGAGAGTGAGCTGACCCAATGCCCTAGGGCATAGGTCGACATTTATACCATTTATAATGCGAGCCATGAGCCACCATGTAGGGGAGGTTTGGAGCGGTGGATAGTGACCCCAGTGTTAAATAGGCAGCCTCCCACCTGCGACCTGCGTAACATCATAATTATTGTTCCATCAAGGCATGGCAAGCGAGATAGGTGGGTGGGTAGCCCAGAAACAGAGGGCCAGGCCTCTGTTAGACAGGCGCAGGGATGGACCCCTGTCACAACCACTCTTAGAATTCTTTTAAGTTAAAGTTTTGTCACTGTTGACACTTGCAGCATATTATGGTTCTGGGTGGTACTAGAGGAAACTGAAGAAAAAGTAAGATCGAAAAGATTGTTTTGTTATCCTGGTTTTAGTTTACTTTGATTTTGCATGTCATTTGGTTCTGAGGTATTGTTAAGGTACATTTTTCTTTCATCTTCCGTTTAGTACAGCATATATTTAATTGGTAAATATTTATGGATAGACATAAAAACAATGCTAAATAGCAGCAAACAATAAATAATTAGTCTGAGTCCCTGGGGAAAAAACATTGTTCCCTTATCTCATGCACAAAATCAAGGTTAATTTATTTAATTTTTATTATGCCAATTTTAAATTTCAGCCATTGGAATATTTTGTTTCTAGAGCTTTGAAATAAACAATGATATGTGTTTCATTGTTTATTTCTAAGCAACCTTAAAATTGTTTCATTGTTTAGCTTAGGACATAGCACAAAAGGTTTATTGTGAAAAAAAGGGGAAAAGATGGTAATGAATATTTAGAACAAAATTAAATGTTATATTGAAGAATTCTCAAAAGGTGGTGTAGAGCAGTTAAAATATGATAAATTAAAGCCTAAACTGTTTAGTTGTTATTTTTGAAAGTTTAACTTAGAATTTTTCACATCACTTATTAACATTTTTTAACAGCATAGTAAAAATAGATCCTCAACAGAATGAACCATTCTATGATGTGGTTGCTATCGTTGATCCATTGACAAGAGAAGCACAGAAGATGGCACATTTATTGATTGTAAGACCATGTAGATTTCTTTATTTATATTTTAGTTGTATTTTAACTTATTTTCAACAGTTTTTTTATTTCGATGTGAAATAGAATCTAGCATTATCTGATAGACTGTTTTAATTTAAACTTTCAAACATGTTCAGCAATACAGAAAGTGACTGTCTAATGAAAAGATTTATTTATGACTTCATATCACCATTTGAATAGTTGTTCCTTAAGTGGGCAGTGCTGCCCAAGAATATCTTAAGAAAAATCCTCTACTGTGTGTAGCTTGATAATCGGGGATCCTAGTTTTCTCTGATTTAAAAAAAATCCTCAATTTTCGGTTTAAAAAAGTAACCCCAAATCTACATTTTTCCATGAATATATTAGTGGTGTTTCATTTTAATCATGGAAAAAATGTGGATGTTGGGTTACTTTTTTAAAATGAAAATTGGGAATGTTTTTAAATCAGAGAAAACCAGGATCCCTGTTGATAATCCAGGGATAGAATAGTGTAGATATACAGCTGCTGAATTTATCTTCTTCCTTCATTAGTCACAAAATGTCTATCCCTTTCTTCAGACCCTGTATTGGCTCCCATATCAAATTTAAACTTCTCTATGTCTCCAGACTCGCTCCACCTGGGTTTTGATCCCTGCTGCATCCTGCTAGAAAAAAACCTGAAGCTGATTTCAAACCTAAATTTGTCTAGCTGCAACATTTCAGCCATGAGATCCTATTATAAATTTGTCAGCTATATTGAAGAACTCAAGATCAAAGTCTTTTTCCCTATCTAAATACTTACAGATTGTGATCCAGCAATCCCTTAACCTTCTTTTAGTTAAACTGAGAAAATGGGTTTTCACTATAAGATTTTCCAATCTTATCATCATTCTTATGGGTGTTCAGTGAATCATTTCCAATTTATCAACACTCTTCATGAGCTATTAACCTCCAAACTGATTTCTGTTCCAGAAGAAGTTACATCATTACCAAATACAGAGGTAACATAATTCTGCTCCTACTAGATATCCCCCCATTTTCAAGTCCATAAGAATTTCATTGTGCCGTTTGGCCACAGCATTGCATTGGGAGTGCATTATCTACAATTACCTTCAAGTCCTTTTATTAGTGTCACTGTTTCCTAGGAGTGAGTGCCCTGTCTAGCAAGTATAGACTACATTCTTTGTTCCTAAATGCATGGCTTTCCTGTTAGGCATATGAAAGTAATTGTTTGCTTTCAGGCAGCTGACCACACGCGATGGATTGTTCTGTATCAATGACACATCCTTTAAATTGTTTTTCACTCCCCTAATCTTTTGTGTTATCTGAATATTTTATAAGTGAAGATTTTATGTTTTTATGTAGGTCACTTATAAAAATGTTAAATAGGATAGAGTCATAAATTGGTCTCTACAGGATGACAATAGAAGTACAGCTGCTTGTTATGATTCTTTATTTATAGTTACATTTTGAGATGTGTCAAAATGCCACGTTTAATCCGTGTGTGCAAGTGTGTGTGTCAATGTTGCATCTTCTGTGTTCTTAATTTAAACCTTGTGTGGCACAAAGTCACACAAAGTCAGCCTTATAGACTTCTAAGGGTGAAATCCTATTTCATCTTTAATACACATTAGTACTACTTACGGAACTTTTACACATGCTTTGAGTGGGGGGGGGGCAGCATTTCAATTGCAGTGGCTCCAAGAGTCACTCCAATTAAAGTGCTGCAGTGTCTCATGTATCAGCGTCCTCACGCTTCAAAATGCTGGTGGTGGCGCTTGAACTAAAGCTCGTATGATGAGCTTTAGTTCAAATGCTTCTGCTGCCATTTTTAAGCATAGGGATGCTGATACATGAAACGCGGGAGGCTGCTGCAGCGCAGTAATTACCACAGTCCAGCAGACTCGATTAATTGAGTCTGCCCTGATGCGCTGTAATTACAGCACTTTGGAGCAGCCTCTGCACTCGTGTACAGGCACCCTGTGTGTTCTCAGGTACTCAAGTAAATGCCTTTTTTATTACTTACGCAGAGTTTAAATCCTATTTCCATCTGCTTCCATTTGCACCTACCCCACTGTTCTCTATCCATTTTGTTCAATGAATATTGAACATAAGGTGGAGAAAAGCCATTAGGGGCAAGAACCAGAACCAAGAGCATGACCCTTCTGAAGCAGAGTCCATCTCACTAAGCCACATTCCCTCTGGTTTCTTCATGTGCTGGCTATATATATCTTCCCCACTTGGCTTTCTGGTGGGGCTGAGCTTCAAGAGGAGGTTGTGGGGTATGCTGTGCAGTACTTAACTCATGGTATGGTAGTTATACTAATTGCCTGGGAAGTGAGAGATGTAGGGCCTGTTCAAAACTTGTCTGAGTGATGGACTCTTATAATCTGGAGCTTCCACTCCCTGGAAAAGTGCCATCACCACTAGGATTTGGGACTAAATGGTTGGAGGATCCTCCTGTTCTTTCTCTGCTGAATTGTCACTAGTTGTGGTTTTTTGCCAGTCACACATTTGGTAACTGACAAATAGTTACATGATTACCCAGACAGTCCTATCTTCCACAGAACATATATGGCCATAGTGGAGCCTGTTGTTCATGCTCAGAAGGGCAAGCATAGCTGTGGATGTAATACCTTTCTACTTATCAGACCATGTTGTTAAGCCAAGCACTTGTTAAGATTCTTTTTGCTTCTAGAATAGTTAAAAACACACTGTCTTTAATTGTGCCCACCATAGAGTTTTCCTCTGTCCTTTTGCTTTCCTTACAAATATTCTACTATCTAGCTTTTTAACTTTTATTACTGTATTTACCCAAATCCAAGAGAACTTTGAATTTAAAATGATCACCAATAACTAGATTTTGTTCATGGCAAATTTATAAATGTGTTATAATCTTTCATGCATAGAATCTCATTATTAGCGGGTCATCTTAAAGCCATCCCCTTACTGCTGCAGTCGGATAAGCTCTGACAGAAGAGTCAAGTGGCCAGATTCCTACTCTTTGTTCCCTGCCACCTGTCCTCCCTACCACTTGCCCCGCTGCTGCCTGACTGGCAGTCCCCCTAGTGCCTTTATGCTCTGGTGCCTACCCCCCGCACCTATGATACTTGCCCCCACTGCCATTAGGCCCCCCCGGCACCAGCCCATGTTGTGCCAACATGTGTCAATGAGACTCATGTCCTGTAACTCTTTTTGCCATGCATTATAGGTGAATGCTTAAGGGGCTGGCCATCCAGTCCTTTTAGTGTTATTCAGTGGTGTATGTATGACACCAATTTGTACCCCACTTTGTGCTCATTTTTTAGAGAGCAGATACACAAATGCTCAAGATCCTTTTCTTTTGAGTTGTCAGTAACTTGAAAAAAGTTATAAAGTACCATTTCCCTTCCACTTTTGTCTATTCAATCCTTCTTACAGATGTTGTTAAAATGTAACATTCTAGTCGTGCAAACTGTCATACCAGGTTTCAGTAAAATCAGCTGGTCACATTGGTGCTTGTAAATGAACACTTTTGATTTCTCTTGTTTATCACCCAGACTGGAATTTGTTTTCACCTTTGCTGTCACCATTTTTTCTTTAGTTTTGTTCTTGACATCATGGCTTTATGTTTTGAAGTCTGTGTGTGTGTGTGTGGCTTGAGAGAAACAAAGTGTGCACATTCACAATTTGTGGAACATTTTTGTAGCTGGTTTCTAGTTTTGTCACAACATTAATTCCTTGGCAGTATTACTATTTATGGCACAGATAACAGGTTAATCATGTCCTTCCTAAGTGTAACACCTGCCAGGGCCTGTGGAAACGAGTGAATTATAAATAGACAGTTAAGAAGAAATAGGAGGCTAGGCCGAAATTATTCACATTTCTGTGGAATGAAGAGATTAACATAATCAATCCATCATTGACAGTAACAGCACAATTATTGGAATGTTTGCTAGATTACTATTGCAGAAATATTGATGAAAAGAGCTATGTAAGAACTAAATGATATTGTTTCTTAATGTTTTATCATAGAGATGAACACAGCAATTATTTTAAACAATTTTTTTATGACTTGAAAAATCATACTAAAGTATAGAATACTCAAGATACCCTGTGATAAAAGTTTTTGGGGCACGTAAAATATTTTTGCCTACATAAATTAAAAAATCACTTACTGCAGATAACCTTAATTTTTTTTAAAAAAATTCTTGAACATTCTAATGAATTGGTACTGAAGCTTGATGCACAGTGAAAACATTTGCCAAGAAGGTGATTTCTCCTTATTAAAAGGCCAAAGAAGCTTGATAGATAGCAAAACTAATTTTCCTTAATATAGAAAAATGTTGTTTTTCTACTAGGTACTGAGAGACATTGTCAACATGAAACTGAAGCTTTTTATGAATTGTAGATCTAAACTGTCAGAAGTACCTTTGAAGAGGTGAGTAATATCCTATAGCTGTTTTTAGATACATTATGTAATATGACTTGTACGAGAAGAAATTGCAAATGATACAATCTCTTTAAAAGAAAATCAGTCAAAAACATGTTTTTTCAATAGACCTGATTGCTGTTGCTGGACTAATTGTGGACCTGAGAGATGGGATTGTTAATTTAAGTTGAATGCTACTGAAGCAGTCACTAACCAAAAAAGTTAAAGATTAACTAACTAAATTTGTTTAAGATTGTTACCACTAACGAAATCCCAAATTACAACAAATATATTTACATTTAAAAACTTTGATGAATTACAGTATTGTTCATGATTATTCTTTCAACAGCTAATGTCAAAACACTTGGAAACGTTTAGGAAGCTGTATGTTAACATAGTACTGAAACGCATAAAATCATAGGTTGGATGGGACCTCCAAGGTCATCTGGTGCTCTTGAATGTAAGAATGTTGTTTCTAAATCATCCCTGTCAAATGCTTATCCAGATTCCTCGTAAAAACCTTCAATGAAGGTGATTTCATAACTTTCCTCGGCAGTGTATTCCACTACATTACTGTCTAATAATAAGTAAGATTTTCCTGAGATCTAACCTTAATTTAAAATTTAAAACCAGTTCTTCATGTCTTACCCTGTGTTGCAAGGAAGAACAGTTGTTCTTCCTCTTTTTAATGGCAGCCTTTCTGAAATTTTAAACTACTATCATGTACCCCTGTTAAATCTCCTTTTCTCAAAGCTAAACATACCTAGCTTTCTCAGCCTTTCTTTGTTTGACTTCCCTTCCAATCCCATTATCATTTTTGTTACTCATCTCTGGAGCCCCTAATATCTCCACATCCTTAAAACATGGAGCCTAGAACTACACACAATATTCAAAACAAGACTTAATCAACCTACCTACTCTGAGTAGAGTAGGAGTAGAGTACGACTGTCAACTTATATTGAAGACTCTTGTTGATGTAGCTCAAAATTACATGTGTTCGTTTTGCAACTGCATCACATTGCTGACTCATGATTCTCTGACTCACAGAAACTCCCAGATCTCTTTCAGCAGTGCTATGGCCCAACCATTTATTTCCCATTTATTTGTGTATTTGAGCATTTTGTTATTTTTTTCCAAGGTATAGCAGCTTACATTTATCTTCATGGAGTTTCATTCTGTTGCCTGTAGCCAAATTCTACAATCTAAGATCCTTTTGAATTCTGCTCCTTCTTCTAGTTGCTTATTCCCCACTCCATTGTAAATATTATTGCCAGTGGCTCTGAGAATAGTTCTGCCAGTTTCTTTAGCACCTTGGGATGAATTTTGTGAGGACTTTAGATTCATTCAAATTACTCAAGAACTTTTTGATGCTCTCTCTAGTTATCATGACTCCTAGCCTTTCCCCTTCTTTGCCTATGTTATTTTTTTAGCTGTCTGGTTACTGTTTATCCTTTTTTGTGAAGAGTGAAGCACAGTAGTTGCTGAGCAGCTCTCCCTTTTTTGCATCTTCCATTAATAGCGCATTGTATTGGGTTTTTTTTGCTTTGACTTTATTCAGCAACAAAGAAACCAGATCATTGTACCAAAATAATTAAATCATTTGTTACAATATTTTGAATTCCCTGGAATTGTTTTGTGCGTTATTTCAGGCATAAAATAGGTTCTGTGCAGGAAATTAATCATTATAGGGCTTCATACTTACTAGGATCATTTGAATTTGCTTACATATATAGAATGGTCTAATTTTTCTGCCTCCTGTCTAGTTTTCTGCCTTGTTTTTGTTGTATTCTGAAGTTGATGGATGTGTAATACATTTAGTTTGTACGAATAGTCAAAAGCATATGTTTGGTAAAGGTTTAATTTTGATGTCTGAAGTGCCTCCCTCACTTGAGTTTGAACTCATAAATACTTTCATACAGTGTGTGTGTGTGTGTGAGAGAGAGAGAGAGAGAGAGAGAGAGAGAGAATGTTAATTTTGTGTCTGTTTTTATTTAGAAACATCCAGTTTCTGTAAATATTATCAAACTAACTCCTCTCATGCATTAATATAATGAAAAATGACAGTTACTTAGTATTGTTAACAAGTTCAGTGTCTGAGGACGAAGATAGATAAGTTGGAAGAATATTAATACGTTTATTTGCCAGTGCTTTATTCTATACCAGTATTTGTGTGGAACATAGTTTCATCCATTGTGCGTTTGTAACTTTCATTACATCAATCTGCTATTAATACTGCTTGATGATGTTTCATGTTAATTTACATAATGGTAATTGCCATTCTCTTTGCTTCTAGATGATCAAATATTAGTGGCTGTATCAAGTTCAGCCACTACTATTTTTGTGTAAATATCAGCACTGATATTTATTTGCATATCAGTACTACATACCTCCTCATAAAGCAGAATAAAGAAAAAAAGCTTTTTTTCAGAGCCTTACCTGCCATGGCATCAGCTCACCTAGGACAGAATGTTCTGGCTGCATGAAGCAGGATGGATTACTATTGTCAGCATCACATCTTGCTGCTTGTCTAGCAGTGTCACGGGGGCACTTAGGCACTTAGGCCCCGTGCCTAAGTAAGGATTAGAGCAGATGCCAATCACCAGGGCAGCTCAGCTGCGGGTTGCTAGAGCAACCAGAGGGGTCATGTGACCGGAAGGGGGCAGGGCCGGGCCCTTATAAACAGCTAGGCCGGAGCCTGGCTGGCAGTTCCCTTCTGGCAGCCTGCGTGTAAGAGCTCTGCGGGAGAGCTAGACTGAGCAGTGCCGCTTGGCACATAGAGGGCTGCATTATGGTGCAGGCGGAGAGAAGCCTGACCAGAAGGCTTTGGCCCGAGAGCCAGGATGGCTGGGACTTGATGTAGAAGCCGGTAGGCTGATTGTGTTGTTATAGCCGGTGGGCTTATGATTTGGGTTGCAGCCGGTTGGCTTATGATTCAGTTGTGTGTATCATCCGGAGGACCGGGTGAGGCTGTAGGGGTGTGAGGAGGCCTCACAGGAGCTCCCCAGTAGTCTGGGGGTTCCTGGGTGCCCTGTGCGGGCACTGAGCAGCACCGGGAAGGCGCAGCAGCTTGGCACCAGAGTGGTGCGGTGTGTGGGGTTGAGACCCCGGCCCGAGAGGGCAGTATTCGGCCCAATGAGGGCCTAGGAACCGGAGAAAGGTCAGGGGGCCAGGCACAGCTGCATGCCACCTGAGCCCCAGTGCCGAGAAGCCCGAGACCGGGCTGGCGCGTAGGCTCGGCGGGAGCCAAGGGCGCGCAGCGTGGAGCAGGCCCAGCGAGGGCAAGCGCCTAAGAGGCGCGTGGCATAGGGACCCGGAGAAGGGTCAGGGGCCAGGCACGGCTGCATGCCACCTGAGCCCCAACGCCGGGAAGCCCGAGGCAGGGCTGGCTCGGAGGGAGCCAAGAGGCTCGGAGGGAGCCAAGGGCGCGCGCAGTGTGGAGCAGGCTCCAGCGAGGGCAAGCGCACAAGAGGTGCGTGCCCTAGGGACCCTGAGAAGGGTCAGGGACCAGGCACGGCTGCACGCCACCTGAGCCCCAGCGCCAGGAATCCCAAGACAGGGCTGGCCCAGAGGCTCGGCGAGCCAAGGGCGTGAGCAGCGTGGAGAGGCTCGGCGGAAGCAGGCTCCAGGAGAGTTGCGGGCACGAGAGTGTGGGACCGGCTAAGAGAGAGCCACTGGCGCGAGGAGCGCAGACAAAGGCCCCAGTGAGAGGCAGGAGGGGCAAGAGCATGGGAAGCACGTGGCCTAGGCCCCTGGGGGGGGACCAGCCGGTAAGAGTGAAGCCCGGGGAGGGCTAGCAGAAGCTGGGAGACGCAAGAACGTCAAGAACAGCTGCGAGGCTTGGGGCGTGCTAAAGGGGAGGTAGGAGGCACGCATAGCCCATAAGGCTGGGGGTGCACCAAGTCACCCTAAGATCACAGGAGATCATAGGCAGCCTCCCATATTACCTTAAATAAGAACAAAGATGTGGCGGGCGAGAATCCGAGGGTGCTAGATCTCCTAATTGCCACGGAAAGGGGGCGCTAGCGGGATCACGGCCGCTCGCAGGCCCCACTCCGTGACAATCAGCTACTTCCAGTTCAGCAGTGTTAGTGTTAAAGTGTTAAATTTCCACCTTTTACCTTTGCAGCAAGGCAGGGCAAGTGACACTGTCAGTAGAATCCTACCCCTGTTTCATGTGGCCATAAGGTTCCATGTGGCCTAGGGCTTCTCATGGCAGCCTCAACTGCCTGTACACAAATGCCAGGAGCTTGGGTAACATGCAAGAGGAGCTGGCCCTTTTCCTGACCAACAATGATTATGATCTCATAGGGATAATGGAGACCTGGTGGGACTCCTCCTACAACTGGTTGGTAGGTATAGAAGGCTCTACCCTCTACAGGAGAGATCGTGTTGGAAAGAGGGGTGGAGATGTAGCTCTCTATGTCAAGGAGCAGTACAATTCCCTTCAAACTGAATTCATTAACCATGGAAGGTGCCTTGAGACCCTCTGGGTTAAAATAGAAGGGGTACATGGGGAAGGGAATATACTCGTAGGAGTCTATTACAGACCTCCTAACCAAGAAGAACTGGATCTTGAATTCAGTGGGGAACTGGCCACGCCCACATGTTCCTGATGTATGATCATCACGGGAGATTTCAACCTCCGTGACATCTTGTGGGATGAGCACATGACCAGGTCTGACCAGTCGTGTAACTTCCTCGCCTGCACTGATGACGTGTACCTAACGCAAGGGGTCTACAGGTCAATTAGGGGAGAGGCACTGCTGGATATGGTTCTGGCTAAAGGTGATGATCTGGTGAGTGATCTGGGGATCAAGGGCAAACTTGGTGACAGTGACCATGATCTGATTACTTTCTGTGTCCAACATAGGGTAGGCAAATCCCTTAGTAAAACAGAAATCCTCAACTTTGGGAAGGCTGACTTCCAGAAACTCAGGAGACTGGTCAGTCAGGCACTAAGGGACCATGGCCCCCTAGGAACGGGAGTCCATGAGGAATGGTTGTTCCTAAAGAACTCAATCCTCAGTGTGCAAGGGAAGTCCATCCCATCTTGCAGGAAATGCAGTCAGAGGGCAGGGAAGCCCGCTTGGCTCAACAGGGAACTTCTGGGTCTCCTGAAACAAAAAAGAGAAGCGTACACCAGATGGAAAACTAGAATCATCACCAAGGAGGACAACTCAGCAGTAGCCCAAGGGGGTCACACTGTCAGACAGGATGCAGAGCAACCAAGACTCAGGAGATGGGCCCACAATTGACATAGATCAAGTGAGAGAACATGTGGAGAGGCTTGACTTCCATTAGTCCATGGGCCCAGACGGATTACACCCCAGAGTCTTAAAAGAGCTGGAAGACATCATAGCATGCCCTATGGCCAAGATATTTCAATGCTCATGGTGCTTGTGTGATGTATCGGAAGACTGGAAAAGAACCAACATGGTCTCAGTCTTCAAGAAAGGGAAGAAAGAAGGTCCAGGGAATTACAGATCTATCAGTCTGACATCCATCCCTAGAAAAATCTTGGAGAAAATTATCGAAGGATCCATCTGCAATAGGCTAACAGAAGGCAACCTACTGAATGCCAGCCAACATGGTTTTATTACTGGAAGGTCATGTCTGACCAACCTCCAAAGGCTGGGGAACTGGCTCCAGGTTTGGACCCAAAAGACACTAGTTGATGGGAACAAATCAATGTGGCACAAGGTTACCAGTGGAGTCCCCCAGGGCTCAGTGTTCAGGCCGGTACTCTTCAATATCTTCATTAATAACCTGGGTTTGGGCATCAGATGCAGACAGACAAAGTTCGCGGATTACACTAAACTATGGGGGAAGACGGTCACACTGGAGGACAGGCTGGAGATACAGCCAACCTGGACACACTTGCAAAGTGGGTGGACCAAAACCTGATGTCATTCAATGTAGAGAAATGCAGGGTACTCCAGTCTGGGAGGAAAAACCCAGCATCATACTTATAGGCTCGGCAGTGCTACGCTTGCTAGGGATTTGGGGGTCTTGATTGACCACAAGATGAACGTGAGCACCCAATGCGATGCTGTGGCCAAGAAAACTAATTCTGACATGCATCTACTGATGCATTTTGAGGAAAACCAGGGACGTCATCCTCCCACTTTACTTGGTCTTAGTGAGGCTGCAGCTGGAGTACTGTGTCCAGTTTTGGGCCTCCCACTTCAGGAGGGATGTGGATAAGCTCAAGAGAGTCCAGAGGAGAGCCACCCATATGATCAAAGGCCAAGAAAGCAAACCTTATGAGGAGAAGCTGAGGGACATGGGATTCTTCAGCCTGGTGAAGAGAAGGCTCACAGCATGGAGCCTTCTGTGTCCTCACTTAAGACATGCACACCAAATTTTGTTGGATAATTTTCAGAGAAAGGTATATGTATGCAAATAAATACATTGTCTATCTATTGCATTTAATTTGATGTTTCTTAATTGCTTTTATAAAAGAGCATATTTTTATATTATTGAAATAGCAGCACACACAACCTAATTTTTTTTATTTTCAGCTTGCTTTTACAGAGTCATTTCTGCACAAATTGCCAGTGTTAATTTTGATGAACTATTACGTTTTGTTCTGGGAAGAAATAAAACTTTGCAATGAAATCAGCTCTTTATTTTGCAAACCAGAATTGTCTAGTCAAGACTCCGAGTTCTTGGCTAGTTCCATCCTAATTCCCTGTCATGTTTCTTCAAAATTAAGTTAGTACTGGCTAGCTAGTATTCCATGTCCTTGTTAATCTTCTAAAATATTAGTTGTATGATAGATTGAGCCATCAAGGCATAATCTTAGCAGTTCACTAATCTAATGAAGGGAGATAGCTCTCATTTTCTTTATCCCCCCCCTTCTTCTGTTGGAGCTATTGGCAAAAGTCTCTTTCTTCTCCTCTTATTCCATCAGGTGTTGCTGCTACTTTACTTAGTGGCAGGAACTCTAGCAGACCAAGAAAACTCCATATGCAGACTGTCTCCTGTTGTTCACACTTCAGATTCTTTCTCTTTGTCCTCACTTGTATCAGTCAGTGAGAATACAGAAGGAGGTATATCTTCACTCTCCCCAGACAGAATAAGTAAAATAGAAGCATTTGTCAAATGTTTGTTAGCCCATGTGAGTAGGGATAATATTACATGAGCGCATTTCACAAGGACATGGAACTGCCATGCCTGCAAGCACTGTTGATTTTGTAAATGGATTCCAGACATTCATTGTATTTTACCACATTTGTACAAGAACTTCACAATACTTAAAGCTCAGCTTTTGTAGTGTATAATGTGTAATTTTTTAATATTATTATTTCCAACAGCTTTTATCGTTTTGTTTTGGAACCAGAGCTGACTTCCGGGGCCAACAACCTGTTTCCTTCTGAGCCTGTGGCAAAATTCCTAGAAATGCCAGAATCACCTCTGTTGACTCTAAATATGATCACTCCTGAAAGCTGGTTGGTTGAAGCAGTAAACAGTTCCTATGATCTTGATAACATTCACTTAGAGGATGTAAGTAGTAATTTTTGAGCACCTGTGAAAATCATACTGGAGCATATAAACAGAAATCTTCTCTAATGATTTTTTCATAAAATGCTTAATATTCAATCTAGCAAATTGTTTGGTTAACTTTTCCCCCATTTAAATTCTTATCTTCTTTCAAAAACCTTTCTGCAACTTTCCCTCCTTTAAAATAATTAATCAAAGCCTTAATAATTGAAGTAATGAGTTATAGAAGAAAACCGAAAAAAAATTATGCTTGGAGCATGAAATATAATACAAGCAGTTAATGGATGTCTTGGAGCACTAGCATATTTATGAAAGTGCACATTTTCTGGGAGTAAAACTTAAACAATGAAGTAGGCATTCCATATGTTCTGGATGTTTCATCTCCTTTTTCCAATTATATGTATGTCATCTGGCAGTAACTATCTTTCTCTCTGGCATCATTATTGTGTCATATTGCAATTTGATCTTTAACAGTTTATCTCTGAGGTTATAACATACTTTCAGAGTGTGGACCACATTAATTGAGAGCAAGAATATTATACACTCCCTCTCCTAACTGCTTCTAGTTATAGTTGCTTTGTGGATCATCATGTTAACAATCACTGAACTGAATCTGTATTATTTGTACATTTTGTTAATGGACATGGATAATATTTAATTTAGTTCTCATTTCCATTTAAATTTTCCTTATGCCATGGGGCTCTGAGCATGCACTTGTAATACTTAATCAGAAGAGTAGTTCAGTATCAGCTGGAGCAGTGATTCTCAACCAGGGTGCCATGGTACCCTGTTAACACTGTAAGGTATACATATACACTGTAAGGTTAACACATAAGGTATACCACAAAATAAATTCAGAGATTTCCAGAAGCATTACAAACATTCTTATCTGATGCGGTCTTTCTGTGATCTTTGCCACGAAAGAATGGATCTATTATTTTTCTGTAGTCAAAAAACACAGGAAAACTAAGAGCTGGTATTTTCCATGAGATGCCTTGAGTCTAAAATGACTTAGAACTACTGAACTAGAGCTTTTTGTCCAGCAGTTTTATCATGCATTTTTTTCAAAATAAGGTGTAAAATATGGAAATTATTATTTTAAGCTATATTTTTAAGTTGCATGCTTTTGAGTTTTAATACTGTAAGATTCTTTTATAAGTATTGCTTATAGCAACCCATTTCGAAACTTACGTTAGAATTACTACTACATTTATGATAAGACAGGTGAAAAGAAGTAAAAGTTTTATCCTACTTTGCCAGAGTTCCCTTTTCAATGGAAAGACCAATCAGCCTCAGTAATAATTAAATTAACATCTATGAAATTTTTAGACCCTTTGCCACTGAGTGCAAATGATCTATGTCATGACAACATCTAGATGACTTACTGATTGGTATAAATGAGACAAAAGTATTAGCACTTATAAGAAATATAGTAGGGAAAATAAAAGTAGCTGAATTTCAAGTAAATATTTTTTTCAGTAGATAGAATTACTATTGAGGCCCTTCAAAACTTTTTTTTAAATTTCTTAGTACTAAATTAGAAATCCACATATGTACACAAGGGCAAATTGAACTGGAAAAAAAGTTCCTAGTTAAGAATTAAGTTCTTGTTCTTGTTTCAGTTTTATGAATTGCTTTTAATCCCAAATTTTAATATCTTATTTGTGTTTGAAAATGCTAAAAATGGAATACTGCATGGTTCATGGAATTTGGAGTTGAAGTTATTTAGTATTCAAAGTTGCATCTATGCTGATGGCTTATATTAAATGATCTAATATTGTCAGCCTATTTCTAGCTGTCTTTGTTTAAAAAAAAGCCACAAACATGCATTTACAATTAGCACTCTTGCTGGCAATAGAATAAAAGGACCAGAGATTCTGGTTCCTGGAAAACTAAATACTTTTTCATTCCTAGAAGTAGATAGTCTATAACAGTTTTTAATAGAAATGAGAAAGCTTGGATCACCAGCCGAATCATTCTGATTTTGCTTAGCACAGTAAATTGAATGTCCACCTAATGAGTAATGTTCTGGGTATTATTTATAGGCTATTATTATTTATTTGATGTTATTCTCTTTCTCTCTCTCTCTCTCCTTGTGTGTGTGTATACACACACAGATAAACATATAGATATATTTATATAGAGAAAGAGAATATGTATTTAAATAACATGTATCTCCAGCAGTTTTATTTTTGCTGTGTCTACTATGTGTACAACTATGGGACTTTATTCTACAAACTTATTGATCCATTAATTTTAATGAACAATAAATGTACTCAAAATGGCAACACAGAAAGATTTACATCTACCTAAGCTTTTCATATTGAAGGTATATAGTGAACAAGATGATGATGATGATTACTAGGGCTGTGCAAAGCTTCTGCCCAATTCAGGGACCAAATCTCTGAATCCAGATCAAATTGGGAGACCAGTTAAAAGCTCTGAATTGATTCGAACCACCCGAATCATTTTGGAAAAAGATTCAGAAAAGATTTGGCGAATCGGCCTCCAGCTGGTAAGTATGTTAGGAAGCGGGGAGGGAAAGGGCATTGGGGGGGTAGGGATTGGGGCTGGAACAAGCTGTCCAGCCAGGGCAGAGGGCATGGGACTCAGGGAGGGGGGCAGGGGGTGCAAGATGTGGGTGCGGCAGCACTCAGAGTGGGGGCTATGCCCTGCTGCCACTTGCCCAGCTGGGGTGGCGGGGGGCAGGATGCTGGCACAGATCGCTTCGGGCGGAAGGGGGAAAGTGGCAGCATGGCATAGTCCCTGCTCCCAGCACTGCCATACCCACATCCTGTGCCCTCCCGCACTGGCTGGCAAGCAATGCCGGCCCCGCTGTACCAGCTGGCAAGCAGCATCAGTGCAGAATCCCTGCACTGATGTGGGCATGGCAGCATTGGGAGTAGGAGCTATGACCTGCTGCTGCTTGCCCACCTGGCATGGGGGGTTGTGCGATGCAGGCATGGCTCACTCCAGGCAGAAGGGGGCAAGTAGCAGCAGGGCATAGCCCCTGCTACCAGCGCTGCTGTGCCCACATCAGCACTGGGAACAGGGACTATGCTCTAGAGTCACTTGCCAGCTGGCAAAGAGAGGTGCAGTATGTGGGTGCAGCAGCGCTGGGAGTGGGGGTTATGCCCTGTTGTCTCTTGCCCCCATCTGCCCGGAACAAGCCATGCCTGCATCCCACCCTGGCTGGACAAGCGGCAGAAAGGCAGAGCCCTCGCTCCAAGCACTGCCATGCCTACATCCCACACCCCTGCACCCCCTTGCCCCAGCCGGGAAACTTGTCCCAGCCCCAGTCCTTCCCTCCTCCTTATATATGCTCCTTCCCAACCCCAGCAGACTTACCAGCTGGAGGCAGCTGTGTCAGCTGCCTGTTTAGTCTATGGCTGAATCTCCTGAAGTGGTGCCAAATCTTTTGGATCTGATTCAGCCGAATCAAATCGGGACAGTAATTTGAATCTCTGAAATGAACCACTGTCCTCTGAATTGGCTGAATCTGAACCTGAAGCAAATACTTATCGCTTTGCACAGGCCTAATGGTTACTATTACATTATATTTGCTTCATTTTAAGAGATTAAAATGCCAGATATTGTAGTGATAAAATATTGATTTCCACAGATAGAAGGAATTGTTACAGCAGAATATGAACTGGAATATCTATTACTTGAAGGACATTGCTTTGATATGACTACGGGACAACCTCCTCAGGGCTTACAGTTCACACTAGGCATGAAGAGTAATCCTGTTATGGTTGATACCATAGTGATGGCCAACTTGGTATGTATTACCTAAGAAAGAAATATTT